TTCGGGGTTCGTTCGTGAAATTGACGTTTTAGTACGGGAAGGTTAAACCGGTGTTTGAAGGACCAGAACTGGTGAGGGATTAGCACGGCATACCGGGTTTGTCGTATCACGATAATTATATTGATGCTTAGAATAGACCTAGGTGAACTAGAATGGCATGATTAGGGGTGTATGGACTTTTGTGCTATATGATGAACCCTGGACTGCTATATGATATTATTGACTTGCCCTAATCGATATGGACCTGGCTTATGCTGATGATTGTGTATATGTTGCAAATTGTGGGCTTGACTGTTGATATGCCTTATGATGGTTCGAAAAGGTGATAGGGTATGATTGTTCATGATTGTTGTATTTGGATGCACATGTGGGAAAAATATATATTCTCTGGTGATATTATGATGTTTAAGGAGGATGACTTGCACGAGGGTTTATCCCGAGGAAGTGCAATTATACGACTCCTGATTTACCTATGTTGAGCCAATTATGGTCAGGTCAAGTACATGTGCAAGTAATGAATTATGATTAAGCAAGATGAGATATGAATCATGTATAAGGATACCAAATATGAGTGTTGTGGTCTCACGGTCAACTACATAGTAATTAGGGCTCCCTATGCTATTACTCTATTATGATATGTATGATAGTCACACCTCTCATGTGGTGGTGACTGAAGAATTCTTACGAGATATGACCACACCCAGAGCGGTGTCGGGGTATGACTACACCCATAGTGGTGTGGGGTATGTATGACCACATCCGACGGGATGTTGGGGTATGTATGACTACATCCGACGGGATGTGGGGTATGTTTCCCGGGAGAGTTAATAGCATGGGAGTAGCCAGGCGCCTATAAGTAAAACATGATAAGACGCATATGCATAAGTCAAGGTGGTTGAGTCTTTTGCCTATTGGGATGTCGGATGGCTGAGGTCTGATCCTAGTGCTTGGGCTTGTTTGCTAGATGTATGGTAGGGGTATGCTCTGTTATGAACTCACGATGCTATGATTATCTCACTCAGCTATGAGCTGACCCTCTTTTATCCCTTTTCTCTGCTTATGCCATGTGTAAGCAGATCATCATCAGCAACAATAGTAGATAGGTGTATAGGTGGGAGCTGAGCAAGAGTTGAAGGCAAGATGAGGTATGGTCTTCAACTATTCTGTGCTTGGACTACTACTCGGGATTTTGGCCAGTGATCCACACCTTTTTGTAAAAATGTTTTGAGAACGTTTTTCATGTGCATACTAGCTTCTGATGTAGTGTGAGATATCCACAGGTGTGGAAAGTTGATGATGATGTGTATATTTGTGTAATTATGTAAGTTGTGACGATTATGGCATGTATCAGTATAGGATGCAGTGGTGTAACATGAAACTGTGACTATGGCTATGAAAAGCCAATGCATATGGCAGTGAGTGTATATGTTTGTCTATGAATGCATGGATTTAGATGAATTATTTTGCAGGATCAGATGGAAGAACTGTTAGCCCATTACGCGAGTAATTCATGTCGAAATTTTATTTGGGTAAATTTTGATAATTAGTGTAACACCCGAGATTAATTCCGCTGCAATTATATGAACAATATGATTAGGCAAAACGTATAGGGTAGGGTGTTACAGAACCTTTATGGACCCGATTCCAACAACCTTGCAGACAGCTCCATTAGCCATGACCACGTTACCACCATCTATCTGCTCGTAGGTTGTGAAGCAATCCCTGTTCGGAGACATATGATATGAGGCTGCAGTATCCAGAAACCACACATCACCACGATGTGCCTTCTCATCTACAGCCAAGGCGAGATCGTCTTCAGAACTGTTGTCCACTTCTGCCACGGCAACTGAACCTTGTTTCTTCTGTTGCCCTCTTCTCTTGGGACAGTTGTACTTCCAATGCCCCACTTCCTTACAGTTGTGACAAGCATCACCTGGCTGTGGACCGAGACCCTTGGAATTCTTGTTCGAATTCCCTTTACCAGATTTCTTCTTTCCCTTTCCACCTGTAACAGCCAAACCCGATGCCTCACCACCTGTACCAGATCCGGATGCCTTATGCCTGATCTCTCTCGTATGAAGAGCAGACCTAACATCCTCCAACGACACGCTTTCTTTACCAGCAATAAAAGAATCAACAAAATTCTCATATGAACTCAGCAAAGAAACCAGTAGGATTAGGGCAGCATCCTCGTCATCAACTTGTACATCTATATTACGCAGATCCAGCAAAATAGAGTTAAGCTGTTTGAGATGTTCCCTCAAAGGCGTACCTTCTTGCATCCTCAAGCTGAACAACTGTTGCTTGAGATGCAACTTGTTGGTTAAAGACTTCGTCATATACAGACTCTCCGACTTTAACCATAAGCCCACGGCAGTCTTCTCAGCAGCGACTTCAATGATGACGTCATCAGACAACAATAGCATGATGGTTGAGTGGGCCTTCTCCTCCAGGGTATTCCACTCATCGTCATCGACCGATGCCTTCTTCTGTTTCGTAGACAGCGGCCCCCACAGCCCTTGCTGTTTTAGAAAAGCCTGCATCTTGATCTGCCATATAGCGAAGCTGTTCTTCCCCGTGAACTTTTCGATCTTCATGTTCACCGACGTCATTCTTCTGAATCGAAAACCCTAGTCTGATTTCTAGCCGCGGCTCTGATACAACTTGTTATAAACGCGCTGCTACGGATCGGGAAATCGCCAGAATCGATAAAGCAAGAAAACGAAAGCGAGAATCGAAAAACACAGACACACGATTTACGTGGTTCACTAACACGATGTGTGTTAGCTACATCCACGGGGGAGAGAGAGCCAGTTTCACTATATCGAGGAGATTGCAGATTATAGAGGAGTATGAGAAGTATTTATAGTACTTCTCCAAGTGGGTCTAAACCTAATCCAATCTGGCAAAGGAAACGGTTACCCCCGATTACCAGTCGTAGCGGCTGATAATCCGATTCAAGTCACATCAACAGAAGCATTGTTAAATTTGATATAATGAAGGCTTTTGATTCGCTGGATTGGGATTTCTTAATTACAGTTTTAAGAGCAATGAATTTTCCCTGATCTTTTCGTGAGGTGGATTGTTATGTGTGTGACTACCCCTAAGTTGAGTGTGGGGTTTAATGGTGGTATTGTGGGGTATTTCTCGGCTTGTAAAGGATTGAGGCAAGGGGGCCCTCTGTCCCCTTACCTGTTTGCTATCTCTATGGAAATACTGTCCTGTCTAATGGGGAAAGCAGTTAGGGAAGGTCGAATGCAATTCCATCCGATGTGCAAGAGGTTGGGTTTGACTCATTTGATGTTTGCAGATGATTTACTTTTGTTCTCTGACGGTTCAAACCATGGTATCAAATGTGTTCAGAGGGTGTTGGGGGAATTTAGAAGAATTTCTGGCCTGAAATCTAACCCTGAGAAATGTGAACTATTTTGTGGAGGTCTTCCCATTGAATGGCAAAAACAAATGGCTCAGAGTGCAGGATACAAGCTGGGATCTCTCCCTATTCGATATCTGGGTTTGCCTCTTATTCCTGGCAAGTTATCTATCAAGGCATGTAAGCCTTTATTAGATAAAATAACCGGTAGAATTCATAGTTGGAAAACTAAGTTCCTTAGCTATGCAGGGCGATTACAACTTGTTATTTCAGTTCTTGCTAGCTTGACTCAGTTTTGGATGGCGGTGTTTATTCTACCAAAAAGGGTCATTAAAGAAATTGAGAAACTGTGTAGCGATTTCTTATGGGGAGTTAGTGAAGATGGGAAGAAGAAGGCTACTGCAGCTTGGCATTATATAGCTCTCCCAAAGAATGAGGGTGGTTTGGGCATACGAGACCTTGTGAGTTGGAACTTGCGTGTGTAATCAGACATGTTTGGCTTATCCTCCTGCAACAGGGTTTTTTATGGGTGGCGTGGCTGAGGGAGTATAGGCTTAAGCATCATGATTTCTGGACGTTTCAATCAAAAACAGGGTCTTGGATCTAGTTAAAACTGTTGAAGAGCAGGGACAAAATCAGTCAACTGATGTCAATGGCAAATGGTGAGGTTCTGTGGGCTGGGAAAGTTATGAAAAGGTATAGGATTAAGCTGGTTTGGGAGTCTTTCAGGCCTAAGGAGATGTCTGTTTTCTGGTGCTCTCTTGTCTGGAAAGGGCTCTCCCCCCTAGGGACAAATTTATTGTTTGGTTGGTTGTTAAGAATTATATTACCACCAGTGATAAGGTGGCCAGATGGGTAGGGAGAGGTCTCTTCTCATGTGTGTTCTGTTCTTGTGCTTTGGAGACAAGATCACATCTTTTTGGTGAATGTGTGGTGTATAAAGAGTTGTATGCAGGGTTGCTGGCTAAGGCTTTCCCCCAGAGTTCCTTCTGATGAGTGGGGCACAAAACTGCAGTGGGCTATAACCCATCTAAAAGGGAAGCAGGAGCGAGCTCAAGTTGCTAGGGCAATTTGGAGGTCCATGATCAGCTCCATTTGGCGTGAAAGATGTTATCTGAAGCATGGAGGATCAAAGAAAAGTTTCAATGAGATGATAGTGAGCATTCGAAAAGATCTCACTATGTTGTTCCCTGCTGTTCTTGTTGATAGTTTTTGGGACTAGCTAGCTTTCACTCTTGGTTCACTTATAGGTTTCCTTTTTGTATTGCCTAAGGCAGAGTAGTTTTGGGTGGAGAAAAAACAGTGGTATAGTGACTTTTTTTTTTTTTTTGACAATAGTGGTATAGTGACTTAGTTGGCAGGGTTGTTGCCATTAGTTTTGTCACGGTTTCTTGATGATATAAAAGCTTACCAATTCATAAAAAAAACATCCATCTCAAACACTATATATATAAATGTGTGCACTACATGTTAGCCTTCGTATCAGAGGAGTAAAACGGTGAAAATTCGGCTCCAGTTTTTAGTTTTTACTAGACCGGATTTACAAGTGCAAACCATGAGTAGTAGCAAACAAGCCATAGGGTTTATGAAGGGCTTAACAAATAACAACTACCACCACCATTCAGCGCCCTTCTTCTTCTTCTTCTCCTCCCAATTCCCTGAACAAATCCCATCTCCCAAAATCTCGACTTTCCCTCGCAAAAACCTTCCCCACCCCCAAAAAAAACCGAAATGTTGAAGCTTCTCTCTTCTTCTTCCCGCAATCTCCACGCCCACATCGCTTCCCCATGCCTCCGAGCAACCCCTGCTCCCAACTCCGCCGGAGCTTCTGGGTCGTCGTCGAGCCCTTTGCTCAGAGCAATCAATTCGATCGCTGAATTGAGCAGGGGAAGCTCCAGCAGGCATCCCAATTCCTTCAGGAGGGCTTTCTTCTGCTCGGATTCTTCCTCCTCCGGCGGCAGCGACGGAACGGGCAGTGGGGAGCTGGTTGAGGTTGCACTTAAGGGGGACGACAGCGATGGCGATGCCGGAGATTCCAGCAGTAGCTCCTCCGCTATTGTTTCTACTAATCCGAAGCTCGAGGACTATCTAACGGTGGGTTTTGTAAAAAAAAAGACAGGTTTTTTGCCTGGTCGTTTGTTTGGATTGCTAAGGAGTTGATGGAAGCTTGGAATTCAAGATGGTTTGTTTTTTGCGTTTTGGTTGTATGTGTATTCCCTTAGATTGCCATGTGCTATGGAGATGGTAATGGCTTGCGAAGAGTGAGTTTTGTCATCACAAAGCATAGGAGCCTCTAGATGGTTCAATGTATAGCTTTTGTTGCTGAAAATATGTTAGAATAGGCAGAAGAACTTGTAGTTTCTGTCTGGGTGGATTAGAAATGCCACTAAGCTAAATGAACATCTGGCTTGGTTCTTACTGTACAAATGTAGCCGAAGTTTTAGATGGATCAATTTAAAATCGAGACAATTTGGCCAACTGACTCATTTTACAAAATGAGTCATTTAAAACGAGTCAATCGAATTGTCTGCTCCCAACCTACACAATTGGAATTGCCTCACAACGAGTCTGTTTGAAATTACCTTGGCAGAATTGCTTAATCTAAATTTTGTGCTGCCAAACCGATCAATTTGGCCAGATTGTCTCAAAATGAAGCAATTGGGTCAAATTGATCCGTTAGAATTCCTCTTCCAAAGGACTTACCTCTTAAGTTACTATATATATAACTGATACACATTTTGCTTGTCCTTTGCAGGTTTTGGCACTTCCATTGCCTCATAGACCTTTGTTCCCTGGTTTCTATATGCCTATTTATGTAAAGGTATTGGACATTCTACCGACCCCTTGGGTTTCGTGCTTATTCTTGCTGTCGAAAATCACACCATGTTTCATTATGATCGAGTAATGTAATTACTTTGTACAAATTTAGGATCCCAAACTAATGGCTGCACTACAAGAAGCAAGGAAAAGACAAGCTCCGTATGCTGGTGCTTTTCTCCTCAAAGACGAGCCAGGCTCTGATCCCAGTGTGGTATCTGGTTCAGATTCAGAGAAGAGCACGGACAGTCTCAAAGGGAAATATCTCTATGATCGCCTGCATGAAGTTGGAACCCTAGCTCAGGTTCCTCGACTTTATATAACCTTGCTGGCTGATACAGTTGGCATATTTTTTTTTTTTTCTGTTTGGTAAAAGAAGGCAAACATTGATTCAATTTTCTCTATAATGTGGTTGGCCAGATTTCAACTATCCAGGGAGACCAGGTTGTTCTTGTTGGTCACAGGCGACTTCGCATCACAGAGATGGTTGAGTATAAATGAAACTTCCCCCCTTTTCTTTCTGTCTTAATATCATGCCAGTATTTTTCTTTACCTCTAAGCTCAAACTCTTTGGGATTCTGTACAGGTCAGTGAAGAACCACTTACTGTGAAGGTCGATCATATCAAAGTATGCTATCTCCATCTCTGAGCTCCTAGTCTTGATATGCAAGTTCTTAAATGTTCTAGTCTCTAAAAATGTAGCAGATACTTCAGGTTCTGTGGCTTACCCCTCTCAACTTGGTTTTATAGGACAAACCTTATAATAAGGATGATGATGTTATTAAGGCAACATCATTTGAAGTGATATCAACCCTTAGAGATGTTCTGAAATCGATTTCCCTCTGGAGAGATCATGTCCAGACTTACACTCAGGTTCGAGTTGTTTTTTTAGTGTCCTTTGTGCATTCACCAAAAATCACTTGACATCTTCACTTTCCAGTTGATCACTAAAATTGAATTTTGTGTACTGTTGTTATCTTGGTAATTAGTTTTTTCTTTGTAATGTCTGCAGCATATCGGTGACTTTACTTATTCAAGGTTAGCTGATTTTGGGGCTGCAATCTCTGGTGCAAACAAGTTGCAGTGCCAGGAAGTTCTTGAGGAGTTAGATGTAAATGACATTGAAACTCTGACTTATTCCGTTTCGTAATTAGTTTTGATGTTTACTTCTTTGCATAACGTTTGTACGCTCGTGTCTCAGGTGCATAATAGGCTGAGACTTACCCTTGAGTTGGTGAAGAAAGAAATGGAGATAACCAAACTTCAGGTTTTCTACAGTAGACTCACTGTTTTGTGTAGTTGTTGAAGTTTACTGTCAATGTTTCAGCTCTCACTCATTAAATTCTCGACCAAATTTAGGAATCGATTGCAAAGGCGGTTGAAGAAAAGATTGGCGGTGAGCAGAAGCGTTACTTATTGACTGAACAACTTAAGATCATAAAAAAGGTAGTTTTTGCCCCTTCATTTCCTCCTTGATCTACCTGTTTGTGCTTGTTTTTTTTTTGTTGAAAATTGGAGCTCTCTCTGTGATGTAGGAATTGGGCCTAGAGACGGATGACAAGACTGCTCTTTCTGGTGAGTTCTTGTGCGAGTTTGGAAGAAGGCCATTAAGTATTGATTTTGATTTTTTTCCGGGAACATTGTGAATGGTTATTTATCTATTTCGTTTCTACAGAAAAATTTAGGGAAAGGATTGAAGGAAACAAAGAGCACATACCGGCTTCTATTTTGCAAGTGATACAAGAAGAGCTCACGAAACTACAACTTCTAGAGGCGAGTTCGAGTGAATTCAATGTCACTCGCAATTACTTGGATTGGTTGACTGTATTGCCTTGGGGAAATTACAGGTTGGTTGTAAGTCTACCCACTTGATCTGGAAAATTTATAGATCAATAAATATATATTGAGCCGAAATTCACAAAGTCAAGCAGAATATTTTACTCGGTTTACTTAGACTCAGATTCTCAGAGTGCATTTTTTTCTTCTCCATTAAAGTGATGAGAACTTCGATGTCCTCCGGGCACAACATATTCTGGATGAGGACCATTATGGATTATCTGATGTCAAGGAAAGGATATTGGAATTTATAGCTGTTGGGAAGCTACGAGGAACTGCACAAGGTCTAGTTCTCATGGTTGTTTCCTAAATTTCCAAATGTATGTTAACGCCGTATCATCAGTCATCTTATTTTCTGTTTATTGCAAACTGTTCTGTAGGGAAAATCATTTGTCTCTCTGGCCCACCTGGGGTGGGTAAAACCAGCATTGGCAAATCAATTGCACGGGCCTTAAACCGTAAATTCTTCCGGTTTTCAGTTGGCGGTTTATCTGATGTTGCCGAGATTAAGGTACGGTTAATAAGACTTGTTACGACACAATTATTGCAATATGTGTGAGTGGTTTCTTGAATGTCTTGTCTGACTGAGTCAACTTCACACCTAGGGCCACCGCCGGACCTACATTGGTGCAATGCCAGGAAAGATGGTGCAATGCCTGAAGAATGTCGGAACTGCTAACCCTCTTGTCCTGATTGACGAGATTGACAAGGTAATGGAAGTTTTATCAGCAAATCGGAATAATTTGATGATTTCTCGTCTTCTTGTTGAAGGTCTACTCGCAGCATTGTTAGAACTGCATTTGAGATACATAGAAAAGTCCTTCAGTTCTAAAAGGGCTCTCTGTTTGGTATGGCAGCTGGGCAGGGGCCATTCAGGTGATCCAGCAAGTGCTATGTTGGAGCTTCTTGATCCGGAACAAAATGCCAATTTTCTCGATCACTATTTGGATGTTCCAATTGACCTTTCAAAGGTCAGTACGATTTTTATAATGTCACGTTTGAATATTGGGAATGAAGTGTTTCAATATTGGCAAATCCATGAAGGTTTCAGCTTATGCTAGGATTCCGGATATTCCATATTTTGTACTAATTGCGGTGCTTTTGCAGGTTCTGTTTGTGTGCACTGCAAATATAGTCGATACGATACCAACTCCTCTTCTGGACAGAATGGAGGTCATCACTATTGCTGGGTATATCACCGACGAAAAGATGCATATTGCCAGAGATTATTTGGAGAAGTCTACTCGTGATGCATGTGGTATCAAGCCTGGACAGGTCAGTTTCTTGCCACGAAGTGTTTCTATCGCTTTCCTTAACCCTCTTGGCAATTCTTTCTTGCCACGAAAGGTTAATTAAAAATGAATGTTGGATGTTGTTTGATATGTAAATTCCAGGTTGACATGACTGATGCTGCTCTTCTTGCCCTTATTGAGAGCTACTGCCGAGAAGCTGGGGTCAGGAATCTTCAGAAGCAAATTGAGAAGATCTACCGAAAGGTTTGACCCTTTCTCATGACTTAAACCTTATTTGTGATCAATAATTACAATTTATTTTCTTTCTTATCAAGTTATGATTACTCTTTCCCGAACAGATCTCCTTGCAACTTGTACGAAAAGGAGTCCGAGGTGTTTCGGAAGCTCAGGTTCTTGAGAATGGAAAAGCAAGTGAAGAAAAAGTTGACAATGCTGAGAAGATCTCTGCAGAATCTGTTGAAGGAAATGTTGAAGGACAAACTGAGGTGACAGTTGCTGAAGCAGAAGTTGTGCTGGCTGAGAGCTCGTCTGATCAAGATTCTAATCCTACAGATCAATCTACAGAGTCAAAGGTAGATACTAACCTCTTGATATGTAAATATCGTTACTATGTGAAGAAGTGGAAAACTATGAAATTCTATCTAATCTCTTTTAAGTACATACAAATAAACTTGCTACCAACATTACCAATTCGTCACCCCTCTAACCCAGCACTTACTGTGGCAGGACTCGTTGGAAACTGCGGAACAGGAGGAAAGTGAATCAACTTCAACAGTCGAGAAAGTCTTGGTTGACAAATCGAATTTGACGGATTATGTTGGAAAGCCTGTCTTCCACGCTGAGCGAATGTACGACCAGACTCCATCTGGTGTAGTCATGGGTCTTGCCTGGACCGCAATGGGAGGATCCACATTGTACATAGAGACCACTCTCATTGAGCAAGGAGAAGGCAAAGGAGCCCTCCAGCTCACTGGCCAACTGGGAGACGTCATGAAAGAGAGTGCCCAGATTGCTCACACATATGCGCGAGTAGCATTGCGGAAGGAAGAACCAGACAACCGTTTCTTTGCAAACACGAAACTCCACCTCCACGTGCCAGCTGGTGCCACCCCGAAAGATGGGCCCAGCGCCGGGTGCACCATGATCACGTCCATGCTCTCTCTGGCAATGAAGAAGCCTGTGCGAAAAGATCTCGCCATGACTGGAGAGGTCACACTGACTGGGAAAGTCCTTCCTATTGGTGGAGTATGCGACTGCAAAGATCCTAAAGCACCATTCCTTTTCTCAATTGCTAGTAGCTACGATGATCTACTTTTTTCCAGGTTTTTAACTATCTTGTGATGATCCAGGTGAAGGAGAAGACTATTGCGGCTAGAAGGAGTGGCGTGAAGACAATCATATTCCCGGAAGCTAACAGGAGGGACTTCGACGAACTTTCGCCTCAGGTTAAGGAAGGGCTTGATGTCCACTTTGTGGATAATTACAGCCAGGTATACGAATTGGCCTTTGACAATGATCAGAACTAGTAGATAAGATAAGGCACAGATTCTTTATGTCTTCTGTGTCTTCTCATATACACATTCTTGCACAAGCTTTTAATAAGCCAAAAGAAGAAAAAACATCCCAGTTTTGCGCCATTAGATAGATCATTGACAACTGACAGTCTGCTGAATTGTATGCTGCTGAAAAACCAGCCATTCCCCAAACCCAGAAACATTTCTTGCTATTGGTGGGAGAGAGAGAGAGAGAGAGAGAGAGAGAGAGAGAGAGAGCAAAATAAGGGAAGTGGATTCCAAGTGTCGAGAAAGGAAAAGATAGATGGCTTTCTTTTTGTGATGGAACAAGTTGGAGAGAATTTCAATTGGTTTGCTTTCGTTTTCTGTTCATTGCTGGCTACCATGCGTGGAAATAAAGAGGCACCAAATCCAGTTGAAAGTTACAGGGGGGAGACACCCTCCAAGATTCTTATATCCATCATACTACAGGGGAAACTTTCTGGTCATCATTCGACAATTATACAGTGGGTTGGTGGACTGGCAGCTCTCTACTAGTTAGTCATACCATTGAAGTGAGCCTTTCACATTTCTCTTTGATTTGCTAATAGTTGAAGTAACCTTTGACTTGTAACAGTGACTGCAACACAAGGATTAAGATGTGGATACACAACTCAGAACACAAAAAGATAGATAATGGATGAGGATTAGAAATGTAAAGTTGTGTTCTTCAGTCCATCAATCATAGTTGCATGTATAATATCAATGACACAGAATATCTAAGTGTATATGTTAGAACGAAAGAGAATGTAAGTAAATGAAGAACGCATGACAAGTTCAGTAAAAAATTTCTTCCCAATGATGTCGAGATTTGTCCCAAATGAGTGATGCTATAGGCAGATCGTTGAATGATTTACGAATAGGAAAGCTATACTTTCAATGAGTTTGGTGAGATTTCTTAATTTTCCATGACATACTATGCTAGATTGCTAGGCCACATTACACATCAACCACACTCATGAAACTTCCCCTTGCAAATCAAGCATTTGGCAACTTTTTTCTTAATTAAACATCAATATCGTTTAGATCCCACAATGATACAATTCATGCACCTTCAAGATTACATGGAGATAAAAAGGAATTAAGCCAAAAAGGGAATAGAGAGAGGCCAATTTTTAAAGGACCCCACTAAGATTGTCATACTATTACTATCTCCAAGCACAATCTTATTGCATTAGTTTATGTATGGAAGGGGGGAAGGAAACCCATGTGATTCTTTTCTTTGTGTCAACGCCTACAAACACACAACTAGAGACATCCAATTGACAAATTGGGCACTAACTAGCATCTCAAGCACACACCTAAATTGCTATTAAACTTTAGGATCGCTAACAAATCGGAACGAGAGTGTCATTATCTTAATTGTCATTGAAAGTTCGGATCATTGAAAAACCGGTCACTGAACTTTGATTTGTGACGACCTTGTCTCTTGGGTTTGAATTTGTTAATGTAATGATAATTTTGTCTACTTTATCAATGTTTTCTCCAAAAAGTTCTAGAATAGTGTGTCAGCTAACTCGAACTAATAATAAACAAGCTACATAGACGGTCTAATTGCTATGACGTAGGAGAACACGAAGGAACTTGATTGTGTTAGATAGTGCATGTTGGAATTGGACCGAGCAGCGGTGTTGGGCTTTAGGCCCAAAGAGAGTAAATCGGGCAAGGCCCAGCGAAGGACCCAAGGAGGGAGCGTACATAGGGAAAAGAGAGTGGTGGGCGTCTAGCCTAGGACGGGACAAGGAGTAGGCTGCCTGACACAAAGTACCGTTGGTGGCAGAAAAAGAAGATCTTCCTAGGATATTTGTCTCGAAGACTGCAGGACTGAGCATTAATTGCCAGCCGTAGGCGGTCTAGATAAAGCAGGACGTGTCTAGGGCGCCTGACATGGCATTTAATGCCTCAAACCCAACCTAACTGACTATAAATATCTTCATACCTGCATTGATGGTAACTCAACTACTTTCTCTCTCTCTAAACACGAACATAAATTCTATCTTCTTTCTCTAACTTAAGCATTGGAGAGTGTCCTGGGCGACCGCCCACAGACCCTTGTTTTGCAGGGATCAGGAGTACACCCACCATCTGGAACAGACACTTTGCTCGTTCTTCATCAAACCACCTAGAACATTCTAGGCTCAAACAATTACCCCTTTTTTATTATCAATTTGGATTAGCTGGCACTCTAGTATGAACAATTCGAACAAAACTGATAAGGATAAGTAATATTTGTTGTTATATTAGCTATTCAAAAATTTAGCGACGAGTTTGTAAGAAAATAACGTGTAATGGCTCACACGTTAGTAGTCTCGAAGTTTAGTGTCCATTTATGTGATTCATATGAGAGTATATGACTCCCAAGATTAGAATGAAAACAGCAAGAAATGGATAGGAGCTTCCCATATGTAAGGATGGGAAGAGAGGGAGAATACAAGGATTTTTTCGGTCCATTTGTTGGGTCACATTTCCACCAAGAGGGAACTGAAAGAAACTGAAAAAAGGGTCAGTTTCAAAAGCCATGGACTTGGATTTTGGTTGCTAGCTCACAGGTCACAACTCACAAGCATCACGATCCATATCCTTGCCTTCTTTTCTTCTCATGATGATAGAAATCATTATTAAGTCACTTCAACATTTAATTGGTCAGTGGTGAATAATTTATGATTAATATAAACTAAAAGGCTTGATTTTCACCAACAAATCCTAACTTTGGTATACATGCCAGTTATAATCTCGAGATCTTTGATTTAAATAGTGCTATAATACATGCTTATTTTTTCACAATTTTAACGATGTTATTAATTATGGTGCATTTATAATACATCCTGAATACTACGGGATATATTCGTTATGCTCATCCACACAATTATCATTTTGATAATTTGACTAGTCTCCAAATTATCTCAATCTTTAATTGAATCACATTGAAATAGAAAGTGCGTGAACTTAGGTCAAAAAGTATTTTTACGATTTGCTTATATTTCAAATATTTCTTAAACAAACTATTTGCAACATAAAAAATCCATCCAATATTACCATTATGATGAAAAAAATTATAATTAAAAATTCATAAAATAATTGTAGCCTATATAGTCATATTAAACCGCAGTGAGCAGACACTCGCCCCAAAAATCAAGAGGAAGATTAGCCTGAAACCACAAAGCACGCGTGGTTTCTAAGAGGTGGCGATGCTTGCGTTCGACAACGACATTCTGTTGCGGGGTATCTGTGCAAGATGTCTGCAAAATAATACCAAACTGCTCATAAGAACTGCGAAACTCGTTCGTGACAAATTCAGGACCATTATCTGCCTGTATACGTCGAACAACCTTTTCAAACTGCCTCTGTATCATATGAAAGAAAGATAATAGAGTACGAGCAACATCAGATTTAAACCGCAGTAAATAAACCCAAACTGCCCTGCTATAATCATCCAAAATCGTCAAAAAATAACGAGCACCCGAAAAAGAGGGAACGTGGCAGCTGCCCCAAATATCCAAATGTATGAGTTCAAAACAAGAGGAAGTCCTGATTGAACTAGACAGAAAAGGATCACGCGCTTGTTTAGCTCGAATGCAAGAATGACAAGGCGAAGTCCGCTGAAGAAGTGGTGTCGAAATATACTTTTGCAAAACTGTCAACTTGGCAATGGAGGGATGTCCCAGGCGTGCATGCCAAAGAGCCGTCTTATCCACTGCCCGACGAGTCGTATGAGCCACCAGATGCTGCCCATCAACCAATCGGAGATAATACAGCCCATCTACGTGCTTACCCATCCCAATCAGCCTCCTAGATGGTAAGTCATGAACAACGCAGAAGTTACTAATAAATATTAAGGCAACAGGAAGATCAGCTGTAAGCTGACTAACCGAGAGTAAATTGCATTGAAAATCTGGGACATCACACGTGCAGCCACCACAAGTTCACTCAAGAGAGGGAGCCAACGAGCTGAGCTCGTACCAATGCCCCCGTAATTTTGTATAGAATGTGGCGATGGATGTCTTATCCTATGGAAGCAAGTTTATAGTGCGCTTCAACTCGTACATGCGAGCCGCGCTACCATGGCCGAATCGGGCTTGGAGATCGACCCATATATATCTAAACGTTTTCGCGAACCGAACACTACTCCGAATATTCTTGGTCATGGCGGTCTTAAGCCAACCTTTCACCATAGCATCGGCTTGTTTCCAAGCAGCATAGTCTTCGCCCCCGGCTTTCGGCGCCGAAATTGAACCATCAACTAAGCCAAGTTTATTCTTGGCGATAAAGGAGTCTCTGATGTCTCCAACCCATTCTCCATAGTTGATTTCGGTGATTAGTTCACCAACAAACATTCTACTGGGACTGTCGGTGTTCTGAATCGGAAAGGGAGAGGGCCACGGGATTGCCTGGGTAGTGTCGCTACCGCCGCCGCTGCTCTTTGGTCGAGCTGTGCAAAGCTCCATCCTCTTTATCACTCATAGCGAATATTAACCGTGGATTCTTTCACAACTCTGATACCATGTAGAAAACGATAGTGCGGAAACGAAAAATACGAGAGACAAGATTTACGTGATTTCCCCCGTTTGGTGAAAACGGGACTAGTCCACGGAGAACGTGAGTTCTCAGCTGATCTATCATTGATCTTAGGTTTTTCCATTTGGGAGTTAACATAAGCTTGCTTCCCCTTAAGTACACGCCGAGCCAAACCCTAACAACATTAAACACGGGTTGGTAGGCTAATTATAATAAGATCCCCACACTTAATAATAAGTCTTGAGATCACAACACTACGGTTTGTTTCTAATTGGGTTGGTCATTTTGGCAATAATTTTAAGTAAAAACCCAACTCAACACAAAATATATAATTATTCTACAGCATAAAAACACTTTATAACTAATTAAAATTTCAAACGAGTAAACCAAGGTGAAAGGTATCAAAATTCACAAATGTTGTTTGAATTTTAATAAAATGTGATTTACTTCAATATATGGCTAGTTTTTTTCACGATATTTGTTGAAATAGGCTAAAAAGGTTATAAACGAACGCATCCATAATATGTTATTCTATTAAAATTATACATAAGAAAAAGGATTACGTGAATCATAGCTATATTAATTTTATGTCCAAACTTTAAAACCGAAGAATGCATTAGATTAGGGAGATGATGGGAGAAAAACATAGCGAAATATCATAATTTTCTCATAAGTATGGCTATATACAATATAATATTTTTTGGATACAAACTTATACCAATAGTTGGAACACGGGTTGGTCGGGTTCTACGGGTTGTGTAATCCAAAATCCAAACCCAACCCAACCAGAGGTGGGTTGTACAAAAGAAAATGCTCACCCAACCCTAAACCTTCGTTTAAGCGATAAATACAAATGATTTGGATCGGATTGTACGGATGAATCGGTTTGCGAGTGTGTTTGTTCACCACTAGTGCCACCTTTACTACTTTCATATAACGTTCTTTTTAAGTGAAGAGAACACCATCTTTGACCTAAATGTCATTGTAAATGGGCTTTGAGATGAAGTGGGAATAAGAGAGAAAGATGAGACATTCATATATTTTCCAAAGTTGTAGCCTGTAGTTAGTTGATTTGTTCCTTTCCCCCACTCTGCCCAAACCGAAGAAGAAGAAAGAAAAAACAAATGCACAACTTAAAGGTCTTGGCATATGATTGGATAACACCCTTTTACTAACCCTTTTAATCATATCCATTTCTTTACTTCAAGCTGACTACTCATGAAAGCAAGTTGGTGATGCAAA